AATTTCTTCCTCTTTTCTTTCAAATGTTTCTTCCCCTTTTTCACCTCTGTTTCTTCCCTAGCTTCTTAAGAAAATATTTTTGCAATTGGGTCCCTAAAAATTAGACTATTAATAAAGCATTTGAATCTTGTTACAAACGAAATTCTTTTTCTACCGAGAAAACTGATTCTTTGATTAATTCTTGTAAGCATACAATATGGAAAAATAATCAACATAAAGAAAGAGGGCTCAAGCATTGATCATGTATAAAACTCACAAGTATAGCTAATTAACAAACAGAAGATCAAATTGTATGTCTAACTCATCTGATAAATTTATTTGTCAATAATAATGACAAAATGCACTTCACCCCTATTAATTTCCTATTTTGGCATTTCCCCCTCGCCCCCGCCAAAAAATTCAGAAAAGAGGTAACCTCCTCGAAATATTGATTTGGTTCCAATTTTCGGTAGGCATTGTGCAACAAAAATAACATTTTAAAGGGGTAACGTGTAGAAAAATAGTGTTTTTAGGGGGACAACGTGCAACCAAAATAACACTTAAAGGAGCAACGTTTAAAAAAATTCACTCAATTCCGGTTAACAATCCATCGGAAATTTGCTATCGGGGCAATGTACAGCAACTCAGCAAGTACAACATTTTGAAGGGGGGAATTCACTTTATAAATTTTGAGGGGGTAAAATGTGAATATTAAAAAGAGTAAAAAGCAGTTTACCCCCTAAATTAAGAGTCGTTTTGCACTTTGCCCCCTAAACAAAAAAAATTAGCACGTTTTTACCTGAACTCATTAATTCGTTGCACGATGCCCCCTAAACTGAATTTTCCGGCAATTTTGGACGGAATGTTAAATCATATGCGTTGCACGTGCAATTTACAGGGGTAAATTTGTCAATTTACTTAAATTCTACGCATTAATATAAAATAATCATTTAAAAAAAAGGAAAAAATCAAAACACCTGCCACATGCCTTTTTTCTTTTTTATTCTCCATTTATTTCCTCTGTTCTATTTTCTTCTTTGCCGTTCATTTATCCTCCACCTCCGCCTCCAATTCCCACCACTTCCGCCGCCGCGATTCACCTGACCAACTCCAGCACAACAACTGAGAGCGGAATCCAACAACAAGACCCACCCCCAAATCCCAGCCCATAACCCCAGACCACAACCCTAGCCCACAACCGCCCACCATCCCATTGTTAACCTACTCTGTTTTGCCGGCGACGAGGCTAATCAGGAGGCGAAGCCGTGGAACTTGGGCTGACAAAGGAGCCCGTCAAAGCTTCAGCTGCGAAATCGAAGAAGGAAGCACGTGCTAAGAACAAGATCAACATCAACAAGAATGGGGTAAAATTGCGGAGGCTGAGAGAATTGGTGATGGGGACACTTATGATTTTGATTTCTCTCTCTAAGGAAGAATCGAGGACATTTATGATTTGACAGGAGAGAGAGTGGACATTGGAGGCCATATGGTGGATGCGGTGGAGGTAGATGGAGGATATAATTAGGCGGAGGTAAGAGAGTACGATGAGGCGTAGTCGGGATAAATAAGGGCGGCGAAGATGGAGGAGAAAGCGGCGGAGGAAAGGGAGGGACTAGGGAGCGTGTCGGGCGGTCGGTGTCGGCGAGGGTGGAGAGAGGATCATGAATTTCGAGCTTTGGAGTGCGTAGGTAAATCGCCGGTGGTGGGTGGGCGAGGGAAGATGTTGTTGCAGGTGGTTTTTTTTTTTTTTTTTTTTTCTTTATTTACTTTTTTTTATGTTAATGATTTAATTAATATTTAATATATAAAATGGAAGAGAATGTATGAATTTACCCCTGCGAATTTCACGTGCAATGCACGTGTTTAACTTTCCGTCCAAAATTGCCGGAAAATTCAGTTTAGGGGGCAAACTGCAACAAATTAACGAGTTTAGGTAAAAATGTGCAATTTTTTTTTGTTTAGGGGGCAAAGTGCAAAATGACCATTAGTTTAGGGGGCAAACTGCTTTTTACTCTATTAAAAATTTATAGGGGTGACATGCAATTTGCCCTAATAATATTTCTGCAATTTATAAAAATAATTAATTAGGACCGAGACTCACAAAGCTGCTCTCTCCATTTCAATACAAAGCAAGTAGAAACACACTCGGTTTCCATTATTCTCGACCCCTCTCGTTAATCTCCATGCGCACTTCTTCCAAATCTCGTACCCAAAACTGTCTACATTGATCCATATTCCCATTAAAACTCCATGAATTCCGTATCCACGTTCCAGGCGTAGTCGCCGATGATTCTTGGACGACAAATACGAAGCAAAAGATTCAGAAGAGTAGACGGAGATGAATTTAATGGACCACTTAAATTCAATTTCTCCACCACAACAAGTTTATTACTACTATAATCATTTTCATCTCCCACAACAAGGTGTTGATCAATATTCATGGAACATTGCTCAATATCAAGAACTATCTTAGATTGGCTTAATGACTCGAGCAGTTCGTGTAGCTTGAGAAACCACGCGCAAGAAGAATCTTCGTTAATATTCCCACGAATCTTGAACTCGTACGGTATCAGTATAATTGAATCCCACTCATTGGAAGTCGGTGCAAAAGAGATGGATGGGATAAAATCTCCTTGGTATCTGAAATATATTATGTTTGGGGCGTCAATGAATAGCCGGTCGTCTTCAAAGCCGTAACAATATGTGAGAACCAAGCGTTTAAGACTCGGGAATTTACACGACGAGAAGACGCGCAATTCCACGCCGAATAGACTTAAAATATTGAGACTTCGAAAGTCCGATTCGTGAAACGAAATCTTACCCGATGAAATTTTAATGATCTCAAGAGAAGGGGCATCATGGATTTCAATTCCACAATAATTGTGAATTACGAACTTCTTGAGTTTGCAAAGACCACTCACCTTAATGTTTTTCAACCCCTTGCACGATTCGAGAGACATGGTCTCGATCAAAGGGCAGCCCGAGATTATGTGCTGAAAAGTCTCGTCATCGATGATGACTTTTTCGAGATGAAGCCTTTTGAGATGCTTGGAGAGAATCTTGCAATTATTATTATTATTATTATTTTTATCCTTTGTGTCCATCTTGTATCTTACGACACGCAAACCTCGGAGAGATTCGGCTTCGAAGACCACCGAGGGAAGATTGATCGCGTATTCGTTCTTGTCCCGATAACGTTTATAATATTTTGGACGGATGGAGAGATAAAACTCCTTTGTACCCATGTTCGCGAGTCTTCGGATCCAATTTTCAAGATGCGTTGCGGATTCATGATCGGGATTGTCGTCGTCGTAGCCTATCGACAATCTAAGATGAACTGTCAAGGTCCTTATAGTCTTTGACTAATTTTCATAAGGGGGTTTTTGCTAAATTTTTTAGGGATAATTAGTGAAAACCCCCCAATTCATTTACTTATATTAAGGTGGATATATATAACCTCCTTTTCATTATTAGTGAAAACCCCCCACCTTATATTAAATAATATTTTTTTAATTAATATTATTTTAGACATTACTAATATACCTAATTTGCCCTATTATATCTAAAATAATTAAACATATTTCACGTTCTCTATTTCTCTTATTCTTCTCTCTCTTTTCTCTCTACATATCGGCCGCCTCCAACTCTCCTCCATCTGTGTTCTGCCACCGCCTCCAACCCTCTTCAATCTCTGCGCCGCCATCGTTATTCTCTTCTCCCAACGGCGTTCCTCCCTCCACCGACGCGAAAAGAAGATGGTCTTCACCCCTGGGATTCTCTCGTCAAGGACGGCGTTAGGGTTTTCGCTAGGGAGAAAGACGAGATTATGCAGCGGCGCTAGGGTTGATATTGCGTCTGAGATTTCAATACAGACCACCGCCCCATTGTTTCATTGTTGTTGTTCTTCTTCTTCTCTGATTTTTGTTTTTGGAATCCAATTCTCGAATCTTAATTTTCTTAATTGGAGTTTTTTGTTGAATTCTTATATAGAAGGCTAATTTTGTGTTCAATCAATAGTATAATGTAGGTTTTGTTTTTGTTGAAATTGTGTGGTGTTATTTACAGATTTATAGATATTTTCGTACAGCAATATAGTTGTTTTCGTACAGCAATATAGTTGTTTTCGAACAACAATATAATATAGTTGTTTTCGTCAGCAATATAGTTGTTTTTATTACTTTTTAGTTGAATGTAATAGTTGATTTTGATAAATGAGAGTTGTTGGAGATATATAGTTGTTTTAATCATATTGTTTTAATAACAGTTGTTTTAATAATAGTTGTTTTATTGAAATATAGTTGTTTTAAGTGAAGACAAAAAAATATAGTAAAAAAATATTTTTTAAAAATATAATAAAAAAGTTAAAAAAATATTTTTTTAAATATTTTTTTTAAATAAGAAATAAATAAAAAAATGAAATTTAAAATTAAAATACAAAATAAAAAAAAATTAAAAGTGTATCAAAGTAGTTTATAATAGGTAGTGAATAGAGGAAGGGTAAATTTGAGAATAAAAAAAGGATGGGTCTCCCACTAATAAAGAAAAAAGAGCTGGATCCATCCTTATTAAAATAAAGGTGGAGGGGGTTCTCACTAATAGTCCCAATTTTTTAACCGGGGTTAGTTGCTTCCGAGAAATAACCAAAAACAAAAAAACAATATATCGGTTTGACCCGCCTCAAATCGCCACACACCGTCACAAACCGCCTCACCGTCAAAAACCCAACTTTCCAAACCGCCCGACAAAAAAAAAAACGTAAAGGTTTATAACCGCCACCGATATTGCAGCCGATATACATCAGCCGCCACGAGAAATTTTTAGAACATTGCTTTAAATACTGTAAACCTTAACTAGGCAAATTTAATGTACAGAATGCAAAAATTATGAAAGATTCCTCAAAAACCACAAACTATTTCAGCAAAAAAAAAAAAAGAAAAAAAAAAACATTTGGAAAAGAACAAAAATGTAGTTGATGAAAACACGCTGGTTTACCATACCACCAACACTACCAAATTCCATAATTAGTTTTCATCTTGTCTCCATTTCAATGCAAAGCGAGTAAAAATACGTTCTCTTTCTTGATCGTCCGACAAACTCATGTGATGACATCCTTTTTTATCTATTTCTTGATGGTACCACAGCAATTCCGACAAACTCACGTGGTGACATTCTTTTTTACTATCGACATCATAGTTTTGCAATTCCGACAGAGTTATCGTACGCCATTCTTCTTTTTCTTCTTCTCCGCCGGTCTTCTTCTTAATCTCCAAGCTCGCTTGCTCCAAATCTCGTTTCCACAACTTTCTGAACTGATCATCTGCATTAGAATTAATCTTCCACAGACACTCAATCCTTTCCCTCTCCCCTTTGTCGAGGCAGAGACAACTATATTTGATGTTTCTTGGACGACAAATACTAAGCGCACGGTTTAAAAGAGATAAATTCGAAGATAAAGGGCAACCGAATGCCAAGCTCTCCACCACAACCGCAGTTTTATTACCACCATCATCTATTTCTTGTCCCTGATTGTTTTCTGGAAACACGTGCGCCATATCGGTATTCATGTAATTTGAAAGAAAACTCAGAGAAATTTCCGATTGGCTTAATGACTTGAGCAGTTCTTTTAGCTTGAGGAAATACAAAGTAGACGCATCGCTCGAATGCCGAAACCATAGATTTATATCTGAACTCCACTTGCTTGAAGTTGTTGCTATAGAGATGGATGGGACAAACTCTCCGCAGTAATCAAAAGAGCGAATCTTTGGTGCGTCGATAAATAGTTGAATCTCTTTGAGCCCGTCACAATCGCGAATTCCAAACGTTTCAAGAACCGGGAATTTACACGACGACAAGTGGTGGAACGACGATTTCACACCGATCAGATTTAAAGAGTTGAGATTACGAAACTCCGCTCCTTTGTGGAACCAAATATCGCCTTCTAGAATATGGATGGTTTCAAGAGAATACGGCGCGTGGATTTCGATGGTACAAATATGCTCGTCGTCCATATCAGAAAAATAAAAGTTCTTGAGATTAAGAAGATTATTCAACTCGATTTTTCCTAGACCTATACATTCGTCGACACAAATATTTTCAACCAAAGGACACCTCGAGATTATCTTCTTAAAAATCTCGTCGCTAATCGAGACTCCATCGAGACGAAGTGATCGTAGATGCTTGAAGATCACTAGCCTCCGAATAGCCTTTCGGTTCAACATAAAATTCTCCACGTGCAAATGTTGCAGAGATTCGGCTCCAAGGACTACAGGTGGCAGTTCAACAAGCCCGTTTCTATCTTTCGAACTATTACGGAGACAAAACTTCTTCACACTCATATTCGTGAGTGTTCGGACCCATTTTTCAAGAAGATAAAAAATTTCGTGATCCGAATGCCCTACCGATATGCATAGACGAAATTCGTCTACGCACAGCCTTTGATCACGATACAGTTCTAGAGCGGTGTTCACAACGGAGAGAAAATGTTGTTTGTTACCTTTGAATGTGACGTCTGACAAATCGAGATTGGGACGAGTACACCAAATATTACGCCACGATTTCGACAAGACAGATGTTCGGACAGCCTCTTCTTGGGAGAGGAGAGAGAATATTCCCTGCAAGATACCTTCTGGCAACTCGGATATCTTGTCCACGGAATTGGAACCGTCTTCCCTTTTTGCCGTTTTCATTGTTACGTAAATACTGCTCAAAAAGATTTTGATATAAGAATCGCCGATTTATTAATAAACCCTAATCAATTTGTCAGCCTAACAAATCATACAAATAATTAAAAGAAAAATCTTACGCAGCGTGTTTTCCTTCTTTAAGGATTCTTAAGTATTTAGAGAAGATCTCCCTTTCCCACCTTCCATGTACATATATAATAAAAAGTAGGGCCAAATTACAGAAAACCCTTTTTTTTGGTAATTACAGCCAACACCCTTATTTTAAATATTTTTACATAAAATTTATGTAATTCGGTTATTTACTGAATCAAATCGTGTATTCATTTCAGTAGACGCCAAACGGTATGAAATGTTGTCATACCAAAATTTTGGTTCGGTTTTACCGATCGCACATCCCTAAATTTACCTTTTGAGGGTTTTTTTCGTAAAATAATACATAGTTGAGGGGTGACTGTAATTACTCAAACAGGAGGGGGTTTTCGTAATTTGACCATAAATGAGGGGTGGCCGTAATCTGCCCTAAAAAGTAATAATAAAAGTTACCCTTATTATATGTCACTGTTTTAATGATATTGAAATATAATTCTCAATTACGAAGGATTCTTAATTAAGTATATTGAAGTTTGACACACACGTTTAAGTTTAACCGAAAAACTAACGGAAGCTATTCCTAAACCATAAGGGTTATGTACTGATATTACGAGCACAAGGGAGCCATTTGCAAAAATTTGTAACCACAGGGGTTAAATGCTATTTACCCAATTAAAATGCAAAAGCGAAAGCATATTGTGTTTGGTTAAACTTGATTATTTAAATCAGTATCACTACAAAAAAAATTATTTTGAGTGACAACACTTATTTTTCATATAGTTAGACAAAAACCGTTGTCACTATGCTTACTGACGGGGTGTCGCTAATGCTCTATAGAAACAATAAATAATGATTAAGTGACAACAAAAAGAGCTATTAGTGACAGTAAAAAAGATGTTGTCACTTAATGTGTGCATTAAGTGACAACTTTTGCTTTTGTCACAATTGGGATGTCGCTAATGCAACTTTTTCTTGTAGTATATGTTGTTGTCGATTAGGATGAAAGATGGGGAATCAAAATTGAGTAAATGCAAAAGGTATCCCTGTAATTTTGAAATAGCGAAAATTCCCCTTGTAGACGCATAAACTTAATTAATTGGTTAATTAAATTAGCCAATTAAATTGTGTCTAAATTAAATTATAATTTATCTTGCAAAATAAGTTATGGAGATAATTATCAATTAATTATTGGCCAATAGGATTATTTCTTCTCTTCCAAGTTAGAAGAGATAAATATCAATTTAAAGAGAGTCAATCAAATTGCGCCACGTCATCAAGAAGACTTTGTGTAGGACTCTTATTCTACCACTATAAATAGGGACCCTCCCTACACAATTCAAAACACAACTCAAGAAGAATAAAAACCGTAGGAGAAAATTCTCTCTACAACATTCAAGTCATCTTCATCAAATTTCCAAGATCTTCAAGTCGAAACCCGTCAAAGTTCAACAAATCAAGATTGAAGGAAGATTGAAGGGCCAAATCCATCAAGAACTCCAAGATCTTCAAGTCAAAACCCGTCAAAGTTATGCGTTCGATCCGAGATTCAAGTTGCAAGACCCTCGGAAGACGTTATTCAAGTTCAAAATCAAATTCGGAGAAGATCAAGTCAACGACCCGACTCCGAAATTCAAAGTCAACATATATTGTTCTTGAGAGAAGAATCGGAGGATTAAATTAGAGTTTGTAACCCGCAATATTTATTTTTAATTCAATAAATTTATATTTGTGCAAGTTTTTCTTGTTTGTCTAAATCGCAGATAAAAAATTTGTTGCTACAAATTTTGGCACGCCCGGTGGGACATCTCTACCTCTCATCTCTTCTCTCTCTCGAAGATCCTCGAAGTGTTGCAGTGACTGCTCTACATTCACAATGAATATTGCTACTTCGGATTCATCAAGTGTGGCTTAGGTACAAGGAGTATGGCTAAGAAGCTGCATGCATCCTCCGAGACTAACTCAACGCCTCAAACCATTCAGAAAGGCTTACCACCTCTTGTCAACACAAACGCAGACGTGGAAGGTTCAAAACGAGAGATTTCACAGCCCACGCCTCGTTCAACATCAAGCTACTCAGAGGTGGCATCCGTCATGAAAACAAACGCTACAACCATGGAGGAGCAAATTGCAAGTTTGAGAAAGGCCATTGAGGGACTCGCAAAGCATGTTCAACAGCGAGATTCTCAAATTGCCGAGTTGATCAACAAGATGGACAAAGCCGATGCTAGTCAAGCTGTGGAGAATCAGATAGATGTTCAAGACGAAGTTGAGACATCCACAAAGCAACAACCAGTTGAAACGAGAAGGCTCCAGCTCAAGAACTTCAAGTTTCTCCAGAATGGATGATTCATGTAGATCAAGACGCTGATCAGTGGAACCATCAAAGACAAGTTGGAAGAAAGCGGGAAAGGCAACCCCAAGCAACATGTGGCACACTTCGTCGAGGCTTGCAATGATGTCGGGACGTACGGAGATCACCACGTCAAGCAATTCGTCCGATCGCTCAAAGACAACACGTTTGATTGGTACATTGATTTGGGGCAAACTCCATTGATAGTTGGAAGCACTTGGAGGAAGAATTTCTCAACCGCTTTTACAGCACTCGAAGAACAATCAGCATGATTGAGCTCACCAATTCCCGCCAATGGAAGAAGGAACCTGTCATCCACTACATCAACCGTTGGAGAAATTTGAGTCTTAATTGCAAGGATCGACTGCCCGAGACATCAGCTATTGAACTGTGCATCCAAGGAATGCAATGGGTACTCCGATATATTCTTCAATGAATTCAACCTAAAAGTTTTGAAGAGTTGGCCACTCGAGCATATGATATGGAATTGAGCATAACTGCAAATGAAGTCGAAGAACCTTCATTCCAAAAGTCGTATCAGCTCAAAGAAGAACATGTTGAAGAAGAACAAGAAGATCATGAGGATGGGGGCAAGTCTTTTGAAGAAACAACACCATATGCAATATGACAAGTCAAATTAAGTGAAGCACTCCTTGACACGAGTTTAAAAGGTCTACATGTCCAAATACATTTAAGCACTCCTTGGCATGAGTTTAAAAGGTCTACAAGTCCAAATCAAGTAAATCACTCCTTGACACGAGTTTAAAAGGTCTATATGCCCAACTCAAATGAAGTACTCCTTGACACGAGTTTAAAAGATCTACATGTCCAAATCAAATGAAGTACTTCTTGACACAAGTTTAAAATGTCTACAATTTCAAATCAAATCAAAGCTCCTTGATACGAGCATAAACTATCCAAGTCAAATCAAGGCTCATTGATACGAACATAAAATATCTATATATCCAAGTCAAGTCAAGGCTCCTTGATACGAGCATAAACTATCTAGATATCCAAGTCAAATCAAGGCTCCTTGATACGAGCATAAACTATCTACATGTCCAAATCAAGTCAATGCTCCTTGATACGAGCATAAACTATCTATATATCCAAATCAAATCAAGGCTCCTCGATACGAGCATAAACTATCTATATATCGAAATCAAGTCAAGGCTCCTTGATACGAGCATAAACTATCTACAAATTCAAGTCAAATGCTCCTTCAGCACGAGCTTAAACTGCAAATGTTTCTCCTTGTCCACATGAGTATAAACTGTGCACGATATCCCTCAAAATGATATATTTTGAACTACGTTATGACTTGATCCCTTTATAGGGTACGTAGGCAACTTAGAATCTCTCTAAGTTCAGTCATGATTTCAAAAGATATATGCGCTTTGCTAGATCAAGTTGCAATTGAAGTTGAGCAATTATCGAGACTCATTCACTCCAAGATGCATTGTCCGTGAACAAGTCTCGAGAAGGCATTTGTAGACGCATAAAATTAATTAATTGGTTAATTAAATTAGCCAATTAAATTGTGTCTAAATTCAATTATAATTTATCTTGCAAAATAAGTTATGGAGATAATTATCAATTAATTATTGGCCAATAGGATTATTTCTTCTCTTCCAAGTTAGAAGAGATAAATATCAATTTAAAGAGAGCCAATCAAATCGCGCCACGTCATCAAGAAGACTTTGTGTAGGACTCTTATTCTACCACTATAAATAGGGACCCTCCCTACACAATTCAAAACACAACTCAAGAAGAATAAAAATCGTAGGAGAAAATTCTCTCTACAACATTCAAGTCATCTTCATCAAATTCAAGGCGTTCTTCATCAAATCGAGGGTGTTCTTCAACAAATCAAGATCGAAGGAAGATTGAAGGGCCAAATCCATCAAGAACTCCAAGATCTTCAAGTCGAAACCCGTCAAAGTTCAACAAATCAAGATCGAAGGAAGATTGAAGGGCCAAATCCATCAAGAACTCCAAGATCTTCAAGTCAAAACCCGTCAAAGTTCTGCGTTCGATCCGAGATTCAAGTCGCAAGACCCTCGGAAGACGTTATTCAAGTTCAAAATCAAATCCGGAGAAGATCAAGTCAACGACCCGACTCCGAAATTCAAAGTCAACATATATTGTTCTTGAGAGAAGAATCAGAGGATTAAATTAGATTTTGTAACCCGCAATGTTTATTTTTAATTCAATAAATTTATATTTGTGCAAGTTTTTCTTGTTTGTCTAAATCGCATATAAGAATTTGTTGCTACACCCCTGTAATAAATAAACTAGAAAAAAACCCCTGTAAAATTTAGTCAAAAGGCATAAACCTCCCGAACACTTTCGTGTTGCACACTCGCAGATATATGCGAGTAGAAATGGATTTTGAGACGTGAAATAACATAATTGCCCCTATAATTCTCATTTTACCACCATCAATTCCATCCCCGCGTCCACGCAGGAACCTTCAACCACCGCACTCCACCATGGGTTGCTCTCCAATCGCCGCCGCTACCATCAGATCGTGATGCCCCTCTCCTCTGCTCTTCTTCACCTCAAAAATCTGAAAATCATAATCACGCCACTCTGATTTGGATAATTGTGTCGGCGGAGCAACTGTCGAGGGCTGAAGAGGCGGCGTAGCAGGCTGCGAAGGGCTGGAGAAAATGGTGGATATGGAGGGATCATTTTGATACGTTTCGTAGTTCAGAGAGGTGTTTGCAACAAACCCTATAGTTCAGGGGTGCAAACTGTACTTTCCCCTTTTTTTTAATTTGGTCCAGTATTTTGTTTTTCTAAGGGTAATTTTGTTAATTCAGCTAAAGCAACCGAAAAAAACAAAATAAGGGGCAGTGTGTCTCGTAAAAAATAACATAGGGTGGTTCTTGCTATTTTTTTAATACGAGGGATTATTCGACCATTTGAAATTACACAGGGGTTATGTGCAATTAGCTCAAAATTATGATTAAGATTGGCTTAATTCCACTTTGCACCATTGGAATATAGTTTTTTGGCACTTTGCACACTCAAAAAAAATATTTTTAACACTTTCCACCCTCGAAACACGATCATGCGTGATGCAGCCTCGATGAAATTTTTAAGCTAGTAAATGCAATTTAATATTCTTAGTGGTATTTTTTAGAATATCAAATGTCAAATCAATTTTTTTATTCATTAATCTTTCAAAAACTATAAAGTGCAAAACTAAAAATACATCTCATCAACCTATCAACTTTTTTCTCCTAAAAACATTATCTTACAAAAAACTAAAAGAACAAAAAAAAAAGTATACTTCAACTAAATCGTATTAAGTTATCTGAAAAATATATATGTTCTACCAAAGATTTCTACCATTTTTAATAATTACAAACAAATATCCATGAATCGAATAATTTAGTGAGTTTTTATTGAAAGAAAACAGTTTTTTCAGTAATTCTTTATAATTTTTGTGTTTCCGCGTTTTAATTTATACGCTCGAAGTTATGTTGTGGAAAGAAAAAGAAGAAGACGAAGACGAGGAGGAGGAAGAGGACGAAAAAAGAACTTACAAATCGCATCTACAACGCACACGCATCTAATTCCGGCCCTTTTGGCCTGAAAGTCATAAGAAAAAGGCAATGTGGCACAATTTATTAAGTTCAAGTGGGATCGAAGCGATTTAATGCTATTTACCCTTCCGAAAATTACAATGACTCAGGTGTTTGTTATTAAACAAGCATGTGTTTGTTTGGTCGCTCATGCTTCCATTGGTACTCTGCAAACACTGCATATGCAACACCTCTTGCTCTTTATTTGAATATATATAACGTAAAAATACTTGAAATAAAGCTTAATAACTTTAATATAAAGCATTCAAAATACATATCAAACCAAGAACACAGAAATACATACGCTCGAAATTATGTTGTGGAAAAAAGAAGATGACGAAGACGAGGAGGCGGAAGTGGACAAAAGAAAAAACCGTACAAATCGCATCTGCAATGCACATACGTCTAATTCCGGCCATTTTGGCTTCAAAATCAGAAGTAAAAGGCAACGTGACACATCTTTATTAAGTTTAGGTGGGATCGGAGCTCTTTTTTTTTTTTTTTTTTTTGAGGTGGCAATCCGCAAAAACAGGTAAAGTTTAGACGGTTTAATGATATTTACCCTCCCGAAGATTACGATGACTGAGGTATATACTCCATATATATGCACACTTCTTGCTCCTTATGTGAATATATCACGTAAAAATACTTGAAATAAAGCCTAATAACTTTAATATAAAAGCATTCAAATTACAACTCAAACCAAAAACACAGAAAGACTGAAAGAGGTCAGATTAGGAACTAAGCTTCTCTCCATTTCAACGAAAAACGAGGAGAAATATTTTCCCACTCACGACATTCGGGAAACTCCGAACCTGACGACAGAGTTATCGGATGCCATCCATTATTACGATCGTCGTAAATTTCGACTCTTACTTCCTCCAAATCTCGATGCCACTGCTCTCTGAGCTGATCTTGGTTTCCACTTTCTCCCTGCATTAATGCACTCTCCCACAAATACACCAAATCCCATTTGCACACAAAGTACACATAAATCTTTCTCGGACGACAAGACTGAAAAATACTGCGCACACGGAACGAAAAGGAATACACCTCAAATTTCAACTTCAATCCCTCCACTGCAACCGGTTTATTACAACCATTGTACGGTACATCAGAGAGGCACGGAAGCTCTAAAGCACATCTTGAAATCGTCAGAAATATTTTAGATTGGCTCAACGAGTTGAGGAGTTGACTTATGCTTACGAGTTTATCCGAAGAAGAAGGCCAATAGGGTAGGGTTACATGCGAATCCCACTCGTTGGAAGTTGTTGCGAAAGAGATGGAAAGTGTTGACCATCGGTCGGAATTGTATTCAAAATAGAGTATGTTTGGGGCATTGATATATAGATTGGAAGATTCTTCGAGGCCGCTGCAAGAAATAATAAACAAGGATTTGAGAATCGGAAACTCGCACGTCGAGAAGAGCTCAAACGAAGAACTCACTCCGTGTAGATATAAACGATCGAGCATACAAAAATCCGCATTGCGGAACCAAACCATGTCGCCGTAAATAATATTGACGGTTTCGAGAGACGAAGGATAATCAATTTCGATGCTCGGATGATGCCTTTTCTCTTCGAATTCTTCATAGTAGAAGTCCTTGAGATTACGAAGACCGTTGACCTTAACATCTGCTAAGCCTCGACATCTTTCCAGATGCATAGATTCAATCAAAGGGCAGCTCGAGATTATCTTATCAAGCATGTCTCCGTCAATGCGGCATTCGTCCAGATGGATTCTTTTTATACGCTTGAAGAGTATCGTGTTGCCGGGGGACAAACCGAATCTCCTCACGTACAAATATTTGAGAGATTCGGCTTCTAGTACTACGCCGGGCAGAGTTGTTACGTATTCAACCTGACGGCCGGAAATAACGGAGAGACGAAAGTCCTTGACGCCCATGTTTCTGAATAACGGGATCCATTTATCGAGGAGCGAAACCGATTCGCGGCTCAGGTAACCGTCTAGCCATATAGAGAGACGAAACTCCTCCAAGCACAGGCTTTGATCGCGGTATCGCTGTAAAGCGTTGTCGACGGCGGTTTGAAATTCCTTTACGCTTCCTACGAAGGTGTCGTCGGAGAAATCAAGATTGGGGCGTGTGCACCAAACGTAACGCCATGATTTGGACAATGCAGAGGTTCGAACAGCATCTTTTTGGGAGAGGAGAGACAATATTCTCTGCAAGATGTCTTTCGGCAAATCGGATATCATGTCCATCGAGATCGAACCCTCTTCGCCTTTCGCCTTCTTCATGCCTCTAATCTAATAAACCCTAAACCCTAATAATTTTGTTCTGGACGAGGTTGCAGATTGATTACACTTTTTCTGTAAGGGTTTGCTAAATAAAGGTTGTGCTGAATGCCTAGATGGAATCGAATTAGAATCCAAATTAATTTCTACTGCTTACAACAAGTGAATTGCTCTTTGCACCCCAAAATTATCCCTTGTTGCGCTTTGCACCCTAATATTTCAAAATTGGCAAAATCCACCTTTTAATTATACTTCTCATGGCACAATGCCTTCTATATTAATTTCTTGCGATATTCGAATTAAAAACTAAAAATCAATATATCACAAGTTGATGGTATATTATAGTTGTTAGTTCATAATCTTAAATTTCTAGTATATTTGTATTTTGTATGATAAATAAATAAAGGAAAAACTGCACTTTGCCCCCTAGAAATTAAAAAAAAAAAAAAAAAAAAAAAAAAAACAAAGACATCCCCTGTAAAATATATTTTTTTTGCACTTTGCCCCGAAGTCAAACTTCCGGCCTATTTGTTACCAGAACTGGCAAAAGTCCGTCCACTCACGGGATTGTCGTCATTTCAGGTATATATACTGCTTTGTCATACCCAAGCCAAAGCCCTAGTCATGTAACCCACGGATTACACATTAGGATTGAAAAATTAGGGTTCTTCTCTCCCAAAATTCCAAATTGTTTGAATTGAAACCATACATTACATGCGTCCTATTTTGTGTTCCTTCTCTCATGATTTTTTAACCCTTGTGACGGGAAACACCAGGATAGTTTTTAAATCGAAGAAACAATGGAAGTTTCTCACAATTTTCGGACTAAAATCCCTAATTTTGTGTTTTGAAATTGTTTGGTGAAGTGAGAGTGGGGTATTTGCCGTTCGTTTACAAAGGTCATTGTCTATTGCACTTGATATTGGACAATTTCGGATGAAAATACCTCTCTGGTTGTATATAAAAGTGAATATCTTTATTTCTTTATTTCTTGTACTCAATTTACTCACATTTTTTTCATGTTTCTTCCCTGATTTTATTATTCACAACGCAAAAATTTCACACAAATTTTCTGACAAAAAATTATATTCTGAAAATTGTTTATAATTTCCTTTTACATTTATAAAATTTTGCAATTTTGTTCCCAGCCTAAAAATTCACCCAAAATTTATGAAACTATTTTATTATGGATAATATTTTTAAATTCTTTTTAAATTTCTGAAATTTTATAATTTCATTTTCAGCTCAAAAATTTTTGATTGAAAATGCTTCCCGTAATTCTAATTCTCAAAATTCATGAATTTTATTTTTCACGTCCAAACACTACGTAGCATATTTTTCTAGAACCACTTTTCAATACAACCGGAGTGCTACATAATAAAATAAAATAATTGGCCAAATAAAAAAGTTAAAAAGTGTTTATTTATATCATATAAATGTAAAGATAAAAAGGTAACTACACCACATAAACTAACAGTGTCAGAGGTTTGAAGGTCCACCGTTAAATTGGGGGGGTCACTTTGTCGCATTTTGTAGTACAGGGGGTACATGCGACACTGGTGATAGTACAGGGGTGCAATTTGTATTCAACCCTTTTTTTTAATCACGCTTACATGACATAATATCTCGTCGGAAAGTATAGATTGAGACGAAAGTTACGGAATTAAATTTAGCTCAGGTCCCTATATTTTGCACCAAAAAGCAAAATCACTCGCCCCCGGGGTCCCTATCCCTTGGCCCGATAAGTATTTGATGAAGGACTGTACAAAACTTTTACTTTAAGGACATCCTTTGATCACTGTACAGCTGCAAAGTATTTCCCACAGTGATAAAAATTCTTCTTTGCTTCCTTTGAAGGAGTCCTCCAAAAAATCGAGATTGGGGCGAGTACACCAAATATTACGCCATGATTTGGACAAGGCTGATGTTCGGACAGCATCTTCTTAGGAGAGGAAATACGGTATTATGTGCAACATCACTTTCGGCAACTCGAAAATCATGTCCATGGAGTTGGGATCGTCTTCCCCTTATTTACTCATATCAAATTTGTCCTTATTTGAATTTGAAGGACAAATTACGGCAAATTCCCCATGCTTGGGATAATTAGTGAAAACCCCTTTTAAAACTGCATTGGGATAGGTTTGCTACATGAAAATAATTAATGATAATCCTTTTCTTATGTTTTTTTCGCAAAATTCTGGATTACGTTATGTTTTTTTTCGAAATCCTGCATTAAACTAAATGTAAATCGACAATGTTGTTTGTGTAGTTGATTTATTAATCGACTATAGTTAATTAAAATATTAAAGCGTATATTATCAAACGGATGGGAGAACCTCTGTCACACAATACGTCGGTCGTTGCAAGACAGCGGTGAAAGTGTTTTGATGTACAGACTCCTTGACGGCGGTGTAGGAGGAGCTAAGGTGAAGAGAGTGTAATATTAAAACTACTCAAGTAATCAAAATTCACTAAAACGTACTTCATTAAACTTTTTTTCACAATCCACAACTTCAGACAGATCTACACAATATTCTTTAGGAAGTAATAACAAAACATACATGCAATCCAAAACCACGCTGCACACGTTTTACTACATTCCCACGTGGAAGTAACAAAATACACTACTACATATACAGAAGAAGAAAGCAGAAACTTGAAGAACAAAGGATAGCCTTTATTTTATTTTTTTATTGAGGAGCTTGATTCTTTTTCGGACAACTAGCGATGAGCTGGACCTAAAAGAGCGAGAAGAAATGCCCTGAAATGACTTGAAGTTTCGGAATGAACAACATCATTCAGCGTTTTGCCATGCTTCCTTTGGTACTCTGCTTTTATGTACTGCATATCGATCTCGGTTCTTGTTACTATCACTCTCGTAAGTGTTGAATCGTCAGTTCCAGCTCCCTTCATTGACTTATGCAGCACCTTAAATCATTTCGAAATGAAATACAGGGTCAGTAAATGTAAGCGTGTATCGATGGAGTTATATTCCAAATCATTTTGCAAGAATAGTGTATTTCAACGTGTTTCGAGTGTGATCAAAACCATGAAGAGTACTAGTCAAAGCAGAAAATCGTAACCTTTATAACCAGAAACTCGTTGAACACATACAGGATAAGCAATATAATAATGATTCAGGAGATTGAAATAGAAGGGGAATTTGACTTGTGTATTCTTAAGATAAAACGTCGTTTACCTTAGCAAAGTATACTGCAGGGTTTTCAGCACACTGCAATATGGTTCGGAGTGCAAACTCAAAGTTCCCGGAGGTCTCTTTTTTTATGGCCTGCAAAAAAGATGTCTATTTAGCCAACAAACGGAAAGCAAATCTTAAGGATATAATGTTGTTTAAATGAAAAGCTTTTTTCACCTTTTTCAGCGAGTTCCCGTACATGTTATGATAAGCAGAAGAAACAAAAGCCAAATGTGCACGACTTCTTTCAGAAAAGATGCGTATGAAAATCTTCTCGTCGGTTCCTAGCTTCTTTTCCCCAGCTTTGTAAAGAGATTTAGCATCATGCTCTGCCATTGCCCTGTCAACCTCTGGACCTTCGTACCGAATTGCGCTAACACAGGCAAGTAACAACTGCAAAATTGAAGACCATTGAAATAGATCAAAACACAGTTAGACATAATTATGCTGTAGTTATTTAAATTTATATACACAAGTCACAAGAATGATTCGAATAAAGTTCTTGCTGTGATATATTTATATTCCTGCAGTTACACCATTTTTTGCCCGAGAAGAGACTGTTTTTCGTTTTGCCTTGAGCACATAGATGATTCTATAATTTCATACCACCTTCACAATCAAATATACCAATTTTCTTCAGTTACTTTGTTTAATAAATCAGATTCCACTATGTTCTGAATGCTTTCATATAAGCAACTCGTATGGGAAAAAAGTACTTGGGCAAAATAAGCAACGTTATTAATGAGTTGGGGTCCACAAAAACATATCGTAATCTTAAAACTCCACTCGAATTAAAGGAGATAAATAATAATATGTATCAGTAAACCAAATAAAGGGTTTTCTTCAACAAGGAAAAAGAAAAAAATATAAAGATGAAGGATGAGTGTCATTAACACTTAGGCCTCGTTTAGTTGCCAAGATAAGATTAAATAATCTAATGAAACCCCATTGTATTATTGGACCTTTGGAAGGTCCAAGAAAAAAACATGCCTAGAAGGCAAGATAAGGCATGATAACATAATATTTGCGGGTCAACCCGGCAAGTTATTAGGGACATCAAACAAAGTCCAATTATTTAGTTAATAATGGCTAATTTCCCCAACCAAACGAGGCCTAAAAGGATACATACAATATGTATTGGTAACCCCAAAAAAATGTTTTAATCAGTATGGAGATCACATTCAAAGCCACATAACTAATCATAAAACTTCTACGTGAGGCATGCAAGTTGCCATCTATGCTACTTGACATGGTCCAAATATCTTTCTTTCACACTGGTACAAATAGATATATAACATCGGTGTAAATGATTCTAGAGAGATTCTAGAGAGAGAGAGAGAGATTACCTTTTGGAGATCGCCAGATGCTTGAGACTCAATATCACGCTCAAGGTAAGAATGAAACCGAGCATGGTAAATTTGTTTCAAGTGCTGCACTTGTGTCGAAGTACGAGAGCATATTACTTCAGTAGCAACTTTCAGATTAACGACATCACCAGTCAACGCTTTCCTTACTATTGTTGCGTCCCTTACAGCAGGATCAGGCATCCAAAGTAAGATTGCCCTCTGAAAAATCATTAATAAAACACAAATTATAAAGAAGTCGTTTATAAAGAAATCTGAAAGCACAATCTTTTAGTTAAAAGTATCGAGAAAATAATATAATATTGGATGATTCTTTCTCAGTACCTCGATATCACCACGAAGTTCCGAAGCAAGGCGTTTAGAAAGTTCTTCAGAGTACATAGCTCTGTACTCGTGCTCGATAAGTGCACGCTGCGTTGCATCCCTATGGGCAAGGATATTAACTACTGCTGCCGTATCGCAACCGAAACCTAAACAATGCAATTAATAGTAAGAAGTAATAGTATGCGATTTTCAGCTCAAATAAACATTATACGAATTTACAATGCATGCTCGTTAGAATGTATTGACAAAAAAATAGTGTTTCACTAGTTGCTTTATTTGCAAGCGGTATCTAATAAAAAAAAAAAAAACCATGTATTAAAAAAATATGCACCAAACCCCCTCGTGTTTTAATTATCAAGTAAAATCCCCCAATTGTTTATTTTTTTCCTTGTACGGAAACCCTTATTTCATTAATAAATTAATTATAACAGTTAATTAGAGAAGGGGATTCCATGCATAAATCACCCATATTAACAGAAATGCAAAACCTTTGCACCAAATCCCCTCATGTAATTAAATAATTAACAGGCGAAAAAAAATTGATTTCTTTCTACACAATATAATATAAGCAAATGGGGAATTTGGTGCGCAGGTTCCTCCAATCACTGAAAATAATAAAATATAAATCACATTACAAACGAGAAATCAACTAACCTAATTTGCTTCAAACATATCAATCCAACCGAAAAGAGTTCAAAATTACATCACACAAACTATAAAACGAGCCAAAAACAGAAGATAATAATTTATTAAAAAAAAAAAAAAACCTTTGAAAGCTTTGTAGAGATGCGTAGCATCATCGCGAGGCGAAGTAAGCAGCGGAGGAAAGGTCAAGGTCGCCATGGCTGGTTCTGGTTCTGTTTCTGTTTCTGTTTCTCTCTCTAGAATTTCTCTCTCTAGAATTCTTCGTAGAAAATTGCAGAGGAAATTAGCTATTTAGCTCAATCGATCAAAGGTACTGTGAATGTATGGGTGAACAACCAATGGCCGAAGAGTACCATTTATATAAGGGAAAGTGCGTGGAGTAGTTAGCGTACAGCTTCCGTAGCGGAATGTACTACTTGGAAAATTATTGACGAGTCAACCAAGTGGCTGCTGTCTTGACTATAAAATTGTTCCGCGTGGAACACGTTTTCTTTTCTTTTTTTTAACAATTCGACGCGTCAAAACACGCGTTCAAATTTGGGTAACAAAATTGTACCGCGTTTTATCACATGTTTCAAAAGTTTGGATAACGTGGGCCAAGGAGTGGTTTAATTAGTATTTAGTAGTTGAAAAAAATAAGGTAAATTACAAACACACCCTTGAGGTATGGTCAATTTACAAACACACCCTTCTTGTTTGGATAATTACATCTACCCCTCAACTATGTTTGTTTCTTATACCTCCACCCTTATAGTGTCAAATTCAACATAATCATCTAGATTTCGTGGAATGTGTTCTAGTTTGTACTTGTTTTGTGTAAATATATAGTTTCTGATACACCACAATCTGATATATATATATATATATATATATATATATATATATATATACAAGCCAAAAAACACATATTAATATTATGACCATATTGCTTCAAAATGTAGAGTTCGAATGAGATAAAACGGGTATAAAAGTGATAATATTCCATATAATATCGAAGATTCCACTAAATTTGAGGAGTTGAGGGGGTGGTTGTAATTATCTAAACAAGATAGAGATTTTCGTAATTTAACCATACCTTAGGAGTAGTTGTAATTTACCCAAAAAATATTATCTTATTTAACTTGAGTTCGAATTTTTTTTAAATTATATTCGATAATACTGTATCGGAATTTTAGTAAATTAAAGTTCCGATAGTTTGATTAGCCTAAAGGTTTTTATGGAATTAATTAGGTTCTACATCGGTGAAACCAAAAATATATTTTGGTAAAAATATATAGTTAAACTAATTATTTCTTGAGTTTGACATTCAAGATTTAATAATCGACCCTAAAATAAAAAGTGATTAGAGGTTAATTTGTACATAATGAAAACAATCATTAATTTAAAAGTATTTATAATTTATTGTAACTTTAAAGAATTTAAATAAAAGAAAATAAATAAATACTAGTTATTAAATATTTCGATATTCGGTACGGTACGGTGTACCGGACATGAATATTTTGTAGTTATAATTGGAGTTAATAGATCAAAAGCTTTTGAAGGACATTTATGAAAATCTCAAATTGATCGTCTCAAGTGAGTGATCTTGATTCCTCGAAATAAAATTATTCTCATATTATCTTTCTCGTTAGAGTTTCAAGGCAGATTAATTTTTAAATAATAAAAATATTTGTAAACATAAATTGAGTTTGTTGAATAATTTTTAAAAATAATGTAAACAAAAAACTACTATATAAATAAAAACTTTTGATGTTACAAGATATTTTTATATATTTTTCATTATTTTTGATAATTATAAAATGAAGAAATACATAAAAGTTTTAAAATAAAAAATAATTAAGCTTCTAAATATATTAAAATTTACCCTAAAGGTAATTAATATGCTTACAATTACCTTCTCTGTATAGTAATGACACGTGTTAAAGGGGTAAAAATGACATTTTTAGCGTAATATTCCATAGAATAAAAAAGATTCTGTTAATAGTAATAGCAGAGAGGCTATGTAAGATGACAACATATATTTTAAAGGAGTTTTCATAATTACGTAAATATGGGGAATTTTTTTGTAATTTACATTGGCCTCAGGGAGTTTTTCGTAATTTGCTTTATTGAAAGCATATTGTATATTATATGGGCATACTAATATATCTTGGATAATTGGGCCTCCGTTATTTTTTAGACGATGCTTAAAGTTGAAAGCCCATAGAAGCCATAAATATGATCATATCTAGTTTGGGCTCCTCAATTAGTTTAAGTCCCAATTTATTTTGAATTAAACAATTTAATTTAAATTTATGATATTGCCATGTGGGCAAATCATCACACACTCACATCTAGGGGTGGTAAACGAGCTGAGCCGACTCGTGAGCTCGACGAGCCGGCTCGTAAAAAGCTCGAACTCGGACTCGAGGTTTTCGAGCTCGAGCTCGAGCTCGCGAGCTCGAGGTTTTCGAGCTCGAGCTTTCTGAAGAGCCGAGCTTGAGCCGGATTTTAGTTGTTCATCAGCTCGCGAGCCGGATTTATTATTATTTTTTATTATTTTTTATTTTTTATATGTTATTTTTATTTAAATAATGTATAATAATATAAAATATTATAGAAATAAATACAAATATTAAAAAATATATATAATCACAATTTAGTTTTTATTTTGTATTTTTTTAAAATAATTTTTAATAATAAAATAATAATTAAAAAATATTAAAAAAAAAAAAAAAAAAAAGAGATTGGGCTCGAGCTCGAGCTCGACAAAATTAACACGAGCTCGAGCTCGAGCCAAAAAAAGAAGAACTCGACGAGCTCGAGCTCGACAAAATAGATTCGAGCTCGACAAAATAGACTCGAGCTCGAGCTCGATAAAATAGACTCGAGCTCGAGCTCGAGCCAGCCAAAAGAGACGAGCTCGGCTCGTTCACACCCCTACTCACATCTATTGATTCAGCTTTTTTTATTACTAAAATTGAATTTCATACTGAAGTGTGTTATTTTGAATTTTTTTAGTTAAAATATTAATTCTGGTTTCTCTAAAATACATAAAGAAAAACTTTCATTTGACTTAGCTTTCTACTTAAAATAAATAAAGAAAATTGAATTATATATGTAGCACGGACACGGAAACAGTGATATGGAAAAATGGCATGTTCCGAAAATGGAGATACGAGAACTTGAGAAAAACTGTGTAAATATTAAAAGTATAGGGATAATCTATATATTTTCTACATAAACATATATAAGTTTTTATTTAATTATATATATATA